AGTATGCCTAAGCCTTAGACCACCTGCCTTCACTAGGCTCAAAGAGAGGGAGCAGTAGGGCCATATTCATCTTCTCTCCTCCCTCCCTCTGCCCTCCCATCTCTCTCCCTTTCTCCCTGCTCCCCCCTCGTAGTTACCCTCAGATGCTTTATACTTGTTTAGGTTTTTTTATTGTTATATTTTTAACTTAAGAAATTATGCTGTATTTTATACAGTGTTGTTGTCAATTATATCTCGATAAAACTGGAAGAAAAAAAATTTAATTGTGATATGATTTCAAAATTACAAAAAAAATGGCAGGAAGGGTGTAAGCAGTGTTCAGGTTCGCAGGGGTCTGTATACTCTTGGAGAGTCGGGTTGTGAGCCCCTCCAGCCTGGAGCCGGCCACGCTGCCTTCACATAGTCTGAGCCACGCTGCCTGGGATTCCTGTGTGTCTGGGAGATAGGGTGTGCCCCTTATGAAAGTTCACCGGTGTAAAAACAGCAATGTGACCTCACCCAGGAACTGAGGCAAACCCAATAGCAGCCTTCCAGATGCTAGGTGTAAACATGAGCAAAGAGTCTAGGGTTTATAGTTTTGCATGGAAGAGCTTGCCCTTTGAGAAACTGGAGGGTTTGGGGAATGTAAAAGAAAAATGGCTTATAAAAAAGCTGACTGGTAACTTCCCAAACAGACACTCTCAGGCGTGGCACCATACCCTCCCCAGCTGCCAAGAACAATAGCGGATGCATTCACAGACTCCTGCCACCATGCCATTTCCTCCCCGCCATGCAATTGCAGATGAATGTTTACGCTCCGTGCTCTCTGTCCCACGCCCGCCACGTGGTTTGTTTTTTTTAACCTTCTCCTTGCCTTTGTACTCACGGAATCTGCTTTCTCACTTCTGGGCTCAGTCCTGCTAGTGTAGAAGCAGTGTTGGGACCTCACTCGTGCCCGGCTCTTTGAGACCCCGTGGACTGTAACCCGCCAGGCTCCTCTGTCCAGGGGACTCTCCAGGCGAGAATACTGGAGTGCGTTGCCATGCCCTTCTCTCCAGCGGATCCTCCCAAACCAGGGATCAAACCTAGGTCTCTTGCATTTGCAGGCAGATTCTTTACCATCTGAACCACCAGGGAAGCCTGTAGGCTTGCATTGTGTTTGGAGGACATGCAGGAGGATTCTTCCTGGTGTGAGAGGAAGGGCCAGGGTGTCCTCTTTTAAAGGGTTAAACAGTCTGGAAGTTTCCCAAATCAGGAGACTTCCTCCAGTTCCGACGCTAAGAGAAACCAGCGTCCTCCGCTCCAGGGCCTCAGGTATGGCTCCTAGGCCTCTCCCTTGGCTGCCAGACTCCTCTCCTCGGAGGAACTGAGCTTAGTGAGCCTCCTGGAAGTCTCTTTTTCTCTGCCATGCCTCACTCACACCTGCGTCGGACAGGAAGTGCCATGAAGGTGGAGGTGCTGTGTGATGTCCCCACACGGGGCATGCCTGGCCCACAGCTTCTGTTCAGAAAATATTTGCTGAGTGACTAGGCCTTGGTGAACAGTTGCTGCCTCAGTTGACTGAAGAATGCAAGATCACAGAAGAAGAGTGTAGATCTTAGACATTCTTATCAGAAGGAAAACAAATGAACTGGGTGGTGATGAATGTACATATAAAATCATTATGTTGTACATCTGAAACAAACAGGATGTTACATGTCAAAGTTGCTTCAGTCGTGTCCAACTCTTTGCGACCCTATAAACTGTAACCTGCCAGGCTCCTCTGTCCAGGGGATTCTTCAGGCAAGAATATTGGAGTGGCTTGCCATGCCCTCCTCCAGGGGATCTTCCTGAACCAGGGATCGAACCCGAGTCTTCTGTGTCTCCTGCATTGGCAGGCAGGTTCTCTACCACTAGCACCACCTGGAAGCCTACTATGTTATATACCTTAAACTATTATAATATTGTAAATCAATTATACTTGCTTTACAAGTATATACAGGTATTTAAGGACTTCCCTGGTGGCTCAGATAGTAAAGCGTCTGCCTACAATGCGGGAGACCTGGGTTCAATCCCTGGGTCGGGAAGATCTCCTGGAGAAGGAACTGGCAACCCACTCCAGTATTCTTGCCTGGAAAATCCCGTGGACAGAGGAGCCTGGTAGGCTATAGGCCTTGGGGTCGCAAAGAGTCGGACACGGCTGAGCGACTTCGCTTTCACTTTCTTTTCATAGGTTTTTAAGGAAAATACAGGCTCACAGCCCTTTAGGGTTTAATTGCTTCTCTGGGATTTGCTCTGCAGTTGATCTTTTAATAATGAGATTTTGGGTTTGGAAGAGATCTTGGAGATCTTTGGATCCATCTCTTTTTTGTTGTTGCTTCCTATGGTTTGCTGGGTTTTTAATCTCTGAGAAAGTCGGCTGAGTGGTTTTACAGAGGCATGTCTCAGTTACGCATGTGTGGATGACCCAGGGCAAGTTTCTCTTCCCAGACTGGCCTGCTCCTTTCACTGAAGCTCCTGGGAATGCTGACCCGAGGAGGCCTCAAGATGGGTGCCAAGTCCAGTGTTATCAGCAAAACCTGTGATCAAGGACTGACCGAAATGATCTGACCACCTGCCCGTTGCTCTTCTGCACTCCCCTCAGCCTTTCTCCTTTTCTTCTTTCTTCAAGCAGTAAGCCCCTAGAGCGCATGTACCCTCCAGTATTCAGACAGTTTACTATTTTTGTAGACAGTTTACTATTTTTGTGTGTTTTTAATGGTGAGCCCTTGGTTTCCTTGATTCCTTGAGTGGATCCATCCTGTCCCATTGGTCGCACTAGTGGAAGCACATTTTTGCAAACAGAAAGCAGGGAAACACTTGGGAGACGTCTACTCAAGTATCATTTCTTATCTGATAGGAAAGGAGAGAGCAGACTCAGGTTAGTAGTCCAGGGCTCAGCATTAGTTTCGGTGACCTGGCCGAGTCCCAGGTCTGGCTGGAATGGGGCACTTTCCCAGAACCCTTTGGCCTGCCAACATCACATCCCACACCCATGAAATGGAAAGTCTCTCATTGTATACTTTTGTTTTAAAAATGTTACATATATATTTTTTGTTTAATGAAACCATTTTTTTGGCTGCAGTGTGTGGCATGTGGGATCTTAGTTGGGATTCCCAACCAGGGATTGAATGCTCATCCCCAGTAATGGAAACGCAGTCTTAACCCCTGGATCTCCAGGGAAGTACCATGTATTATATCTTATAATTATTTTCTCTTTTTTTTTCTCCAATTGAGGTGTAATTGACTTACTGTGTTTCAGATGTACAGGAAAGTGGTTCTGTTTCCGACAGATTCTTCTTCAGGTTCTTTTCCATTATAAGTTGTTAGAAGATACTGAATATAGTTCCCTGTACTATACAGTAGGTCCTTGTTGTTTATCTTTAATATTTAGTAGTGTGTAGCTTTGAATCCCAAATTCCTAGTTTAACCCTCCCCCCTCTTATTGTATACTTTTTAGGGTGTGCTTTGAAGAGTCTTTGGATAGTTCATAGTGAATAATGAATGCTGTAAGACTCTCATTTTCTGCTCCAGCCCTGACCTGGAGCTGGCTAACTGTGGACTGGAAAGAGTGGGTCAGGCAGAGAGATGTGAGAGACATGTTTTAAACTTCCTTAGAAATAGTCACTGAAGCTCCTGAAAAGTTACTTTAATCTACAGCTTTTTCCTCCCCTAACCATTGACACCAAAAATAAGATTGCTCTGGGACTTGACACTGGTAGATAGAATGCTCCCCAGGGGACTTGAGGTTTGCTTCCGAAGCTGGGCAGTGACCACGCTGGCCTCCCAACACTGACCCGTCAGACCTCGCTAGGACAGGACTGGAATCGCAAAGTCCCTGAGATGACTTACAGTCAGCACAGCCCTCTCTGGGTCTCCAGTCAAGGAACATGAGACCTGAATGGATTTGATGCCCTTAAAGCGCTCCTGCATGCAAGTTCTTCCCTCGCTGGGGGGCTGTGTTCATCACACTCACTCCCAGTGTCCGGTGGGAGCAAATGCCTACTCCAATAGCCTGCAGCTGCGAGGATGGGGTGATGTATCTGGCTGGAAACGAGGTACTTTTTAAAGGTTTTATTTAGGGGGTTATTAAATCATCCACTCTCCTCTCTATCTTGAAGGTTATTCGGACCCTTCTTCTTTTTTGAGTTTATTTCTCAGGTTTGAGTCTGATTATGCAGACTTTCTTTAAGTTTTCAAACACCCACACAGGAATGGTGGGAGCCTATTCAGTTTAGTGGAAACAACACGGGAACTGGATTAAAATCGAGCTTGGTATCTTAACCAATTGTCCCCGCAAGCCCCTTGACCTCTGTCAGCCTCCATGCCTCTGTAACGGGGGGATGCTGACGAAGGTTAAAATGAGGACCCCAGGTGCAAGTACTTGGGGTTCCTGAGAGTGGGTGGGCTCGGATCAGGTTTTTCAGGTAAGGCCAACACTTCTACAGAGCAGTTTTTATTGGGAGATTAGTTTACTTCTTAGAACTTGATCTCATCTAGAAACGGAAGTAAAAGCGCCTGCTTGGTTAGGTTGTTGGGAGAAGCAAACGCCGGATAAGTCAGTTGCCTGGCGTGCCTGGCTTCAGGGGCCACGGGACTCTGGAGCGTGGCCATCGGCGATTGACATCAGCTGTCACACGACGTCATGCACTGGTTGAGCTCTTTAGACAAAACAGTTGGTGAATTTTTCACAGTCAAGAGAGGATTTCACTAAAATCCTCCCCTGCAGAATGTGGGGAGAGACTGGAGGGATGGGGGTTGAGAGTGGGTGGGTCCAGGAAGTCTGGCTACTTGTATCTTTGTTTGGAAGATTAAATTACCTTCTGGCAGTTGTGTCGAATTTGACAGGTCAGTGATTAGTGCCAGTTTAACACTTATTAACTACCATACTTTTTGCTGATAAAGACTGTAAAGCTATAAAAATCGTAAAGTTCATAGGGTGTGTCTGTGTGTGTGTGTGAGAGAGAGAGAGAGAAGGTGAAGTGCTCCATAGCTGTCGTTATGCGGCATGTGAAAAGAATCCTGGCTTTTCATTTTTTTCTATGGCTGCTCATGGATGGTTTGGCTTATTTTTCTTCTAGGATGTGGAGAAAGAGAAGGAAACCCACAATTACCTCAGCAAAGAGGAAATCAAAGAGAAAGTTCATAAATACAACTTAGCAGTCACAGACAAGCTGAAGATGACCTTGGTGAGCACCCGTGCTAATAATACTGTTTAGCTTGACAATATCAAAGGACAGCTATAAGTTGTTGGTACCAAAGTCTGTATGTTTTAAAATCTCTGAATCACGCTTGCAGAAATTTAAAGATTAAGGTATATAGGACCAGAAAACCAGATATTTCTGCATCTTTCAAATGAAAGCTGTATTTTGAAGTAGCTTTATCTCAAAATCAGTCAACACTTCCTAAAATTTTATTTTGAAAGATGTTATGACCTCCAAAGGGTTCTCAGCACTGAGTGTAATCCTTGCCTGTTTATCACAGGGGCGGTAACTCAGATTCTAACAAGGCCTTTTAGATAAGTTTTACCTTATGCCAATAAATCTGGAAGTGTCAGGAAAAGGATTTTGTGACCACGGATTGGGATATAATTGAGCTTGGAGTTTTCTCAGCTGGTTGTGGGTGTAAGACGAGTGTGTATTAGTAACAGTCAGCCTCCTGCACTGTTGTTTCAACTTTGCGTTTTCTACAGCTTTGTGCTGGAGCTCAGAGGGGAGCAAGGGTGCAGGAGGGCAAAGCCCAGGCTTGGTGACAGAGGAGGGAAGCGCACAGCAGAGCCCGCTGCGGGCTCCCCTGGCCGGCCTGGCCTTGCCCCGCCCGTGGTGACCTTCCTCGAGGCACCTGCCACCCCTCGGGGCCAGTGTCCAGGGCCCTTGAAGCCCTGCCTGGCCGCCTCGTGACCCTGAACTGACAAGAGCTCAGCAAAGGATGGGACGACCTGGTTAGAACAGGTCCGACTGAGTTCTCTGACCCTTGGGGAGGAACTTTTAAATATAATCCCTTGGGAGAAAGGATCCCTATCTGGTGGGATTCCACCCAAAAAGGGAAGACAGCAGATAATCTCAAGATTATTCCTCTTTACTCCACCAGTCTTACTTCTCCTTTTTCAAACATGGTTTTTATCAAAGCAGAACATTCTCTCCCCCTTGGAGATTAAAACAGATGCAAATTTCCATGTCATTTCAAAGATTAAAAAGAAAAAGTGAAATGTTGTATAATACTTTCCACAAGAATAATGAGTGGATTAGTACTATAAATTGATCTTGTGGAAAGGAAGAAAAACAATGGTCCATAAAGGAGATTTTTCATGTTCTGTGTTAACTGTCATTTATATATAACTTAACCTGAAGGCTCATTTAAATAAAGCATTACAATGTTTGTTTGTTTTTTTTTCTGAATATACTAGAAGTTAAAAGTGAAGACCAGACCATTATCACTATTTTTAGCAACTAAAATTTTCTACCACCAATTAAGACAAGTGCAGGGGATGTCCCCTGTGGTCCAGTGGTTAAGACTCCACTGCAGGAGGCCCTGGTTAGGGTATTAGGACCCTGCATGCTTTGTGGCCTGGCCAAAGAAAAAAACAAAACACAAGTGTTTGTATAATAATGTCTATGGTTTACATTGTAACTTGAATTTGTTGTAAAAATATTGCTGCTTGAGGTGTCTGAAGTGCCTCATTGTGTATCCCATGCTAGAGGGGGACCCTACACTATATAAAATAGTTTAAGCAAAGTTGGTAATGTCTGGTACATAGGCTAGCCACTAGGGATGAAAATAGCTTGTTTTCTTCCCGTCTGCCCCTTGTTACTTGAGTATTTCAGAGTCCTAATTGTGACTTTCCTTTTTTGTGTAATAGCTGGTCATCAGTTGGAGATGTTGTTTCCTTTGAGCAGTTAGCCTGCACATGGCCCCAAGCTTTAACAAGCCTTGTGGTTTGGCCAGCATCTGTGCCAGGGGATGGCAGGCTCACCCGTGGGCCCCGACCTTTCACATGCAGCTTCGCAGGCTTTGGTCCCCACATCTGCCCTGCAGATCTTGCCCGAGAAGCCCTTTCCTGGAGTGTGTTAACCTTTCCGAGGTCGTCTCCTGAGGGCCCGTCTAGAGTGAGCCTTTGCCCCAGAGCCATAAAAGGCGAGGATAAGGGAGGGAGTGTTTCACCTCCCTTTTCTGTTGTTGTTTTGATACGCTCCTGCCCTAAAACGCCCAGCTCACGTGTGTGTTCCTCTTCCTGCCTCAGAATTCAAATGGGATTTACACTGGCTTCATTAAAGTACAGATGGAACTCTGCAAACCTTCACAGACAGCTGGAAAGCCCGCTCCCAGTAGCAATGGCTGTATGAACACCCTTCACATCAGCAGCACGAACACCGTTGGCGAAGTGATTGAGGCCCTGCTTAAGAAGTTTCTTGTGACCGAGAGCCCTACCAAGTTTGCACTTTATAAGCGGTGTCACCGGGAAGATCAAGGTACCATGCTTAAAATGAAAATGGTCCCTGCTTTTGTTTCTGTCTTTTGACCTCATTCGTGGAAGACTGGTGGGTGTACCTATATCAGTTATATCAGAGCCCGGGGATGTATTCTGGAATAAATGGTGACTGCATCCTGGCTGGCTGTGTTTTTCAGGTGGACAGCTCTCGGTCTGAGAGCTCAGAGGTATCTGTATGTGAAGTATGTGATGGGTATTTATGGAGGATTTATGGGATAGCCTCCCTCCCCCCGCCCCCACCACCCCACCCAGCACAAAGAAGAATGCCTTTGTGCTTAAGTTTTCAGTAGCACATTGACGTTGGATGTGATTGGTCAACTTGCAGGCTTCTGTCAGTGGCACAGTCCTGGGCTCTCCTTTTCCCTTAGCCTGTCTCATGCTAGGTGTGACCCTGCGATGGGTTGGCACCCTGACCCCCCACCCTCCACCCCCCCAGAGGCACATGCAGTGGGTGAATAACATTTTGATCTGAGGTCTACCTGTCTGAACTTAGTACCCACAATCAGTGGATTAAAAGGAATCTTAAATTACTGAATAAGANGAGAGAGAGAGAGAGAGAGTGTGTGTGTGTGTGTGTGTGTATGCAGAGCTTGAGTTCAGACAGACTGCTTTGTTTGTGCCTGCTGAATCTAAATCTGTAGGAAAATTTGCTTCTAGAGTTCTGATTTCATGTTCTTGGGAAGGTATATTTTTATTGTTGCAGGGATTGCAGATCCTGCTTTAGGTTTATCTTGCTTTCTAAAAGGAGGAACGGGATGAATTATAAGCCCATTTTGAGAGTGATACTCATTTAAATTCATTCTCAAGAATGATTTCCTTTTTAAATCAAGGCCCAGTTTACATTATGCAGATAGAATGGAAATAGTATAGAATTCATCCACTGTAGGCTATTTATTGGTGACAAGATGAGGAGGGTGGTGCCCAGGTGGCTGAGGTAATCACACTGTTGCGTTGATCTGGGGATGGCGAGGGCAATGATGTCGTGTTGTATTTGTGACACGCCTCTCGTTCTCACCAGTCTACGCCTGCAAGCTCTCGGACCGGGAACATCCACTCTACCTGCGTCTGGTAGCAGGTCCCAAAACAGACACACTCAGTTTTGTTCTTCGCGAACATGAAATTGGAGAGGTAAGTGATTGTTCATTCCTGCTTTAAACTCTGCAGACCAGCTGGTCCTGCTTTATCGCTCTGGTCCAGTGACTCTGCCACTGACTGCGGAGGAGGAGGGGTGGGGAGGGAGAGGGAATGTGTGTGTCTGCCTGTCATGGGAGGAGAGGTGATCCTGTGGAGGCAGGGCGTTTTTGAATGTCAGAAATGAACCCAGAGTTAGTCTACAATATAATTTTCTTGTAACACTCATTATTTAGGTCTGTAATTTTCAGAGGTGGGAGGATATACACTTTCTTTTTAAACTTTATCACCTCCCAGACTCACTTTCACCCCTTCCACCTCCAAATTACTCTAATCCAGCTGCACTTTGAAAGTTGACACTCTCCATATGTTTGCTGGTAATCAAAGTCTCCAGGCTCCTTCGCTCTAAAGGGAATAAAGGGAAACACAGTCTCTTTACTATGAAAGCCATTTAACTTTCTAGACTCTTTCTTTCCTCTTTGCCCAGATAATTTAAGAATTTATGTCTATACGTGCATTCTTTGCCACTTTCTCTCCAAGAAGGATTGTATTTAGGTCAGTTCAGTTGAAGGAAAAGGCACTTTAGACTGTCCTTCTAGATCAAGTGTCCGTTGAGTAAATCTCTCAAGCTCTGGGTCTCAGCCTTTTGTCTAGAATTGGAAATGGCACGAATTGTCCGTGTAGAGTACTTTGTGATGCAGTGAGAATAGCTTCTAGGTTAAAAGTTAAGAAACCAAGACTCTGCTTCCTGCCATCGCTTTTACCAAATTAGGAGCACAACACTGGGTAAATCTGCTCTTTTCAGTCCTCAGTTTTAAAATCTGTAATGTGGGGCTACAAACTTGAAAAGGTGGTTTTTTTGAGTCACAAATTAGAAATGTATGTAAACATTCTTGGTAAAGAGTATGTTTATATGTCAGCCTAAATTGGAAGTTTATTTAGGGGAATTTTAGGAAGACAGTGATTTGGGACATTTTGGAAGTTTCTTTTGATTTTACCTTTTGAAATCTTTAAAATCCACTCTCATTTTGAAGAGATGGCTTGGTACAAAAGTCTAAAATTTGAGGTTTTGGCTGGCACTTGATAGTCTGTTCGTTTCCAAGGCAAACCATTCAGTATCATGGTAATCCAAGCCTATGCCCCACCAGTAACGCTGAAGAAGCTGAAGTTGAACAGTTCTATGAAGACCTATAAGACCTTTTAGAACTAACACCCAAAAAAAAAGGTGTCCTTTTCATTATAGGGGACTGGAATGCAAAAGTAGGAAGTCAAGAAATACCTG